AGATGGATTTAGCTTTTGAGGACATGGGAGTTTTGCCAGATCTATGGTTAGGAGGGCTGATTCCCTTCCTAAAAATCCTGGGAGTCGACCTTGTCCAATTTGAAGCTCGCCATGGCCACCACGGTAGTACCCAGAAATATGGAGTACTGGTTCACGCAGTTACAAGCGCACATCATGGCCAATTCCCCTAAGGATAGGATCCTAGCGTCTTTTGAGACGTTATTGCAGGGGGTGGGGTACATTGCAGATGCTTCGGCGGAGTCGGTGAGGTTATCAGCAAGGTTGGTGGCCCTTACCAATTCAGCCCGTAGTGCCCTTTCGCTAAAGACATGGCAGGGAGATTTCGCTTCTAAAGTGAAGTTATGTGGCATTCCCTTTTCAGGTGATCTGTTTGGGCCAGGGTTAGAAACGGTTTTAGACCGCACAAGGACAGGGAGAAGTCCTTTCACCTGAAGCAGAAAATGCAGGACCAAGGGGGAAGAAAGTTTTGTCCCCCAAAGATACAGGTCCTTAGACCAGAAGTTCAGAAGAGGACATGGGGGCAGAGAGGTAGGGGCAAAGGAGGAACGATATTCCGTCCTCCTGAGCAGCCCCAAAAGCCGCGGTGACTCGATTCCCCCGGTGGGAGGAAGATTGGGTGTCTTCTTCCCATGGTGGGAAGCGGAAGTCTCCAGCCCCTTCGTACTGGACATCGTGAGAAGGGGGTACCACCTGGAGTTCTTGAGACCACCGCTGCGAAGGCTATTGGTGACAAGCCTGCCAAGATGTCCACAAAAGGCTTCGGCCTTACTAGCCTCTCTATGGGAGATAGAGGAGTAAAAGGTTGTAATAAGAGTTCTCAATGCAGAGATAGGATAGGGTTTCTACTCACATGTGTTCGTGGTACAGAAACCTTCAGGGGCGTACAGATTGATTCTAAATTTGAAACCCCTGAACGAGACCATCCGATACAAAAAGTTTCGGATGGACTCAATTTTCACAGTCAAAGCCCTGCTTCCACCGGGGGCTTTCCTAACCTGCATCGATTTCAAGGATGCCTATCTGCACGTACCCATTGCGGAGGCATTTTAGAAGTTTCTCAGGCTAGCAGTTCAGAGTCCAGGAGGGGCGTGTCACAGTTTCAGGCCTTGCACTTCGGGCTCTCCTCCTCTCCAAGAATTTTCACAAAAGTTATGTCCGAGGTGCTGGTTCCACTTCGGTTGAAGGGAATTTCAGTGGTAGCCTATTTAGACGATCTTCTTTTGTTCGTAAGCACGGAGGATCAGCTTGCGCAGGATATAGCGGTGGTGAGGAACCATTTGGAGAGTTTGGGATGGCTGCTGAACCTGGCCAAGTTCAGTCTTATTCCATCCCAAAGGATGACTTATCTGGGATGTATACTAGACTCCGCCTTTCTAACCTCGGAGAAGCTCACCAAGTTAGACGGGGGGATCAGGCGGCTACTGGAGAGCCAGGAAATATCGTTGAGGCAGGCTATGTTGGTTTTAGGCCTGTTAACCTCGTCCATTCTGGCGGTGCAGTGGGCGGGGTTGCATCTACATCCCCTGCAGCTGTTCATTTTGAACATTTGGGACTGGCAGCAGCTGTCAGATTCCCGGGTGTGAATTCCCACGAAGGTAAACAGATTCCTTTTGGTGGTGGAGGAAGACAGCCAACGTAACTCAAGGGTTACTGTGGAATTTTCCGGTGGTCAGGGAGATCATGACAGACGCGAGCACCCAGGGATGGGGGCACACCTAGGGGAGTCTGTGGTACAGGGTGCGTGGTCTCGAGAAGAAAGAGGGGAATCCTCCAACTGGAAGGAGCTAAGGACTGTTTGGAAGGCACTTTGTTCCTTCCAGGGTTTGATTGGGGGTTATCATGTTCGTGTCCTTTCAGACAATACGATGATGGTGGCCTATGTAAACAAGGAGGGACAAGAAGCCGGTCCCTCTGGGGTCTGACGGCGGTGCTACTGTCATGGGCAGAGGTGAATCTAGCCTCCTTATCGGCTGTCCACCTAAAAGGGGAATTAAATCAGGTGGCTGATTTTCTAAGCAGATGGCAATTGAGAGAGTCGAAGTGGGTTCTCAATGGGGAGGTTTACCAATCCATTGTAAGGAAATGGGGGTCCCCAGCCATAGACCTATTTGCGCCGGGTCGGAACAGCAAAGTCACGATGTTCTTCTCACTAAATCGGTGGGACAGGGCTCTGGAGGTGGATTCGCTGGCGCAGAAGTGGGATTTTCCCCTATGTTACGCTTTTCCCCCGGTCGCCTTACTGTCGACAGTGTTGAGAAACTTCAGAACGGAGAGAACCTCTCTGATCTTAATATCTCCGTATTGGCCCCGTCGAGCGTGGTTCTCAACGTTGAGGACCTTAGCTATTCAGCCACCTTGGGTATTACCTCTACAGAAGGACTTGCTATCGCAGGGCCCGGTCCTATGTACCAGGGTGGAGAGATGTAAACTGGCTGCGTGGTTTCTGAGGAACAACTCCTGCTAGCGAAGAGATTCTCATATTAAAATAACAAAAACAATCTAATAGCCTTGATGCAAACAATTTCTGTGTTAAATGAACAGTCCTCTTGATAAATCCAAAAACTTGTGTCACCAAATGGGGAAAAACACTGATGAATATTAATATATATTGCGCTCACCTCCAATTTTTGCCTAATATATAAATAGCAAAAAACACTTTTTTCTCCTGACAGGACAGATGAAAAACTACTCCTGCTTCAGATCTCCCACTCAGCTGGTTGCACGTTGTATGCTAATGATCCACCTAGTGTCTCTCCACAATGCTGCTTAATAATATGGATATGGAAGGATTCCTCACTCTCACCTCCAGGGGTCTATTTGTCTATATATCCCCTCCAGAACTCCACATAATGGTATCAAAAAGAAAACGAGAAATAGTGTCTTATCCTTTTAAACATTTTAATAATCAAATGAGCAATTGCACTCACATTAAAAACAATCAAAATGCGCCTGTGATAAATGCTTTTTGTGTGCGGTCTTCACACTAACAATACTCGCCGTTAGCTGGCCGACAGAACGTGGTGACTTCAGAGCCCCTCCCCTACGCGTTACGCCACAGGGTCATGTGGCTTCATCATGGGGATATATCCAGAGGGAATCAGGGTGCATTCTACATGTGCCCTGGCGGCCACGCAAGCGGAACAGGCAGGGGCCTCCCCGGGACAGATCTGTAGGATTGTGACTTGGTCCAGTTAAGGGACCTTTGTTAGGCATTACAGACTTGTCCTGGTCTCGGTGCAAGAGCAGGCCTTCGGACGTAAGGTGCTGCAAGCAGTGGGCCCGCCCTAGGAGTGAGTACTCGCTTATCCTCTCAAGGTGCTGTCCTGAAAGACGAGAGAGGAAAATAAAAGTTACACTTAAAGTAACGCCTTTTCCAGTAGTCTTTCAGGACAGCACCGGTTACCCACCATCTGTTGTATAATATTTATGAGAGATGTCTTATTGTATTTTTTTTTTTTTTGTCTCATGTTCTGTCTCCCCAGGTGACCTGAGGTACTATGCCAAGAACTGAGGTTGGAGGGGAGTGGCAGAGGTTTTATTTTGGGTGGAGGTGTTTCCTCAGGTGGGAAGGAGCCTAGGTCTCTCAAGGTGCTGTCCTGAAAGACTACTGGAAAAGGCGTTACCGTAAGTGTAACTTTGATTATATTACAATTTTGAGAAGGTGCCGATTAATTTTGTCCAGTCCATTTAGGAGTTTTTGCGTGGAATGTGTTAGATTTGGCTTTTTGTTTCTCCACTTTTTTGTCATAACAATGCAAACAAAATAAATAAACATGAGAATGCCTAAACATTTGTAATTGCAACAATTTTCTGGGCGAATTGGTACATTATCTGACAGAAATGCAGGGGTGCAAATATTTTTGACCATTACTGTACTTATTCTGCTCTATAGCAGACATATTGCTACAGGGCGACATGGGTGCACAAAATCACGTATATACATGATTTTGCAGTTCTGGGTAGGGGGCATGCGTACTCCCTACCTGCGCCGCTATAAGCGGCCTTGGCTGTCAATCACCAAGTCTTGGCCGGTGAGTTCTCGCCGCCATCTGGTGATCGATGAGTATCTCCGATAGGGGAGAGACCTGTGTATAAACACAGATCTCTCCCCTGTCGGCTCCTGCACACTGCTTTGTATGGCTCTGCATAGCATAACCATACAAAGTGTGTTTACAGTATAAAGCACTCACACAGCACACAGTGAAACGGCACACAGTTAACCCTTTGCTCTCCCTACATTATTATTATACAGTATTTATAAAGCGCCAACAGTTCGCTCAGCGCTGTACAATACAATGGGAGACAATACATGCGACAGTACAACAACAATACAATGCTATACACGAGGGGTTCGAGGGCCCTGCTCCTAGGAGGGGATAGTGGTACAGGAGGAAAATCTGGGGGGGATGGAGTGGTAGGAAGAGTGGAGGAGGTCAGCAATTAGCAGGGGGTGGGGTAGGCTTCCCTGAAGAGGTGGGTTTTCAGGGTGCGCCTAAAGGAGAGGAGAGTAGGTGATAGTCTGATGGATTGGGGTAGGGAGTTCCAGAGGATGGGTGACGCCCTGGAGAAGTCCTGGAGGCGGGCATGGGAGGAAGAGACCAGGGAACTAGAGAGGAGGAGGTCTTGTGAGGAGCGGAGAGTGCGTTTTTTGGGTGGTATTTGGATATTAGGTCGGTGATGTCATTTGGGGCAGTATGATGGACAGTTTTGTACGTCAGTGTTAGGATTTTGAATTTGATACGTTGGGCAATTGGAAGCCAGTGGAGGGATTGGCAGAGGGGGGTGGTGGAAATGTATTCTGCTACATGTCTTTGCTAAAAGAATCCCAATACATGTAAATTCATTGGTTTATGTGAAAGTTCTAGAGTCTACAAATGGCTGCATATATACTGGAAATTTTTTTTTTTATATATACTAGTAATGGCGGCGATCAGCGACTTGTAGCGGGACTGCGGCAGGCATCTTGACACTGGGTGGGAACTGACTAACTGCCACTGACATCACAACAATGCTAATAAAAAGCACTGACACTGTACTAATGATACTTGGCAGGAAGGGATTAACATTTGGGGTCAAAGGGTTAACTGTGATGTGTGCTGTTTTACATGATGTGCTGTGTATATTTTACTAGGGAAACATGCTGTTTGTATTTCTCTGCTGTGCAGAGAAATACAAAGCAGCATGTCCTTGCTGGCAGGAGAAAGACCTGTGTTCACACACTGGTTTCTCCCATCCGCTTTCCCCAACGATCCTTCAGTACATGTAAAATGCCCTCTTTTGAAGAATGTTTTCTTGATTCAGTCCACTGTTTTATCTGAGTTAAGCACGCAAAATCATATGACCAATTTTCAGTTTCACCTAGAATCCCTGGGAGAAACCTAATAAGCCTGTCTGCACTAGATGTTATGTCCCCTTAAGCCAGAAGTTAAAAAATAATGTCTTAAATAAGGCCACAAATGAAAAAGAAATTCAATGATTCCCGCAGCTGCCTCAGCCAATCAGGCGTGAGAGTCCTCGAAGAACCGAAGCTGTCATGGATATCGCTGGATTGGGATGAGGCTCAGGTAAGTGTTGGAGGGGCTGCTACACACACAGTTTTTTTTACCTTCATGCATTCTATGATAAAAAACCTTGAGCTGTTAGAACCATTTTAAGCTTTTAGTGGTGCTAGAATATTATTAAAAGCATCCATGTTCCCCAGTCTGCTCCAACAAAATTCTTAAAGCAAGTCATCAGCGGGGAACAGGTTTGTTTTAACCCCCCCCCCCCACCCTGTCCTCCATCTGCATCAGCATCTAAGTAAGCTGGCTATACACTAGTAGAACTAGTAGGAACATTTTTTAGATTTTTTTAAATATCTTTAATGGGATCAAATCATCAATTTTTTTACCAAAATGACTAGAAAATTTGAATGAGCAGGATCAAAATTTTTGAATGGATGTTTTTCTAACCGTGTATGTGGGTTTTTATTTGTTTTATTCATTTGTTCCAAAATCGAATGTTTAAAAGCAAAAAAAAATTTAAGTACTTCCAAATTACATTTGCCAAGCTGTGGAATGTATTATGAATTTTTGTGAAAATTTTTGTGCAAAAATCTACTAATGTATGGTCAGTTTTACATTTCCTTAGCCCCAGGGGATATCTGGGGACCCATAAATCCCAGATGTCTCAGTAAAGAGTACCTGTAACTGCCCATGCTATCTCAAGGGATGTTTCTGATAGCAATAAAGTTGATAAAAAATGTAAAGAGACAGTGTAAAAATTTAAATAAGTAAACATTTTTAAAGTGCCCCGTTTCTGCGTGCTTTCGCGCAAATGTGAAAACATACATAGGTCGCGCGCATATGTAATGTTCGCAACACACATGTGAGGTATCGCTGCATTTTTGATAGCAGGAGCAATAATTCTATTACCAGGCCTCAAGTGTAACTCTAAACTGGTAACCTATAAAAGCTTATAAAATGTCGCCTATGGAGATTTTTAAGTACCGCAGTTTGGTGCCATTTCATGAGCGTGCACAATTTTAAACTAACTGTGACATGTTTGGGATCTACAGTATTTACTCAGTGTAACATTATCTTTTATATTTTACCAAACAATGGGTATTATATTGTGTTTTTGTGCATTAAAATTCACTATAGTGTATAATTTCAAGAAAATTGTGTTTGAAAAACCGGTGCAACACACACCATTTTATTCTCTAGGGCCTCTGTTTTAAAAAATATAGAATAAGTAATTTTTTGATTTTTTTGCATATACGAGAGAAGTGTCAAAATGGGCCCAGTGTTGTTGTGGTTAAAACTATTTTTTTTTTTTTTTAACCTCCCTGGTGGTATTCCCGAGTGTAGCTCGGGGTAAAGTTTCAGTACCAAAAGCGGTAACCCCGAGCTACACTCGGGCTTACCCTGCAGCATTGCTCCGGGATCTGTTCTTCTCTTACCTTGTCCTGCGCTCCCGCGATGTCCCTCCTGCAGCGTCCCGGCAATGTCCCCTGGCCTATACCGGCATCCGTCTTCTGGGTTCCGTTCCCTGCGACGTCGGGACGTACAGGGGACGGAACTGGCGGGAAATTTGAAAATGACAAACAGTGACATTCACTAAATACACTAAAATCACATAGTAAAACATTACTGTATCAAACCATTTCACATACATGTTGTCCCTAGTGCTTTGTCCTGTGCCCTGCCTGCATTTTTACTGTTCTTTCTGCCTGGAAACTGAGAAATGTCCAGCTAGAGAACAGCGATAGTAAATTAGACAAAAATAAAAATGCAATTGGCGCAAGAGAATTTGTAGTGGACATAACGTTCACTCAGCAAACCTTAAACAAAATAATCCAGTAAACAGAAATTAAGATATATAATCGTACATGCCAGTAATAAAGGGGCAACAAGTAGATGATGCAGCTTTAGTGGTGAGGAAAGGGAAGGGGGGAGGGGAGGGGGGTAGGGAAAGGAGGGGAAAAAAAGCCTTGTGATGCAAACAGTACTGGATTGAGATAGATGGTATATATATGTGTATACATATATATACAACACTGCAATGTAGACACCGTCGTGAGGCTTGCACTTTCTAGAGTAAACCGGACTCTGTGGTAAATGGAGAAGAAAGAGAAGTGCGCCAGACTAAGTGCAGTATGAATATAAAAGTTTATTGCACACAAGATTATAAAAACTCACAAGATGTGGGTAGATATCAGGCATCAATATATAAGGAGGAGGATGTCATCTGTGCTGCACCTCACAAATGGATGGCTGTAATGTCAAGGTGTTGCGTGGCTGGCGCTCTAGGCGGGTCCCACAGGAGGAAGCGAGGATGGCAGGCGCAGTAACCGGGAGTCGCGGCGCAGATAAGAACCGGGATCCAGGGCAGGCACTGCTGATCTCTCACATCAGCGTGGGTACAGTAGCCAGCTTGAGGCACATCCAAGATGGCCACCGGGCAGGAAATGACATCAGAACGTTGCTGGGAATCCTCCAAGGGGGCGGTGACGCGTTTCTAGGCAACCTGCCTTTTCATCAGACCTGATTGGCTAGTGGAATGAGCCAATAAATAAGGAGAGGAGGAAGGGGTGGGGCAACTGAGGGCGGGGTAGTGAAATTAAAAAAAATGTATAATGCATACAGGCTTAACAAGCAGTGGTGGAAGACATAAGAAATAAACGGTGAGCAGCTGCTTTCTGTAGAACATGTGAAAGATAGGAAGAATAGAAGGAAAGGAAAGAAATGGGGAAAAAAAAAAAAAAAAAAAAAAAAAAAAAAACGCATGTGGAAGATAAAAGATTACACAGGAAATATTTAGTTATAAACGTTATTACTATGATGTGGATTGTAAAGGGTAAGATGGGCAGGTAAGAAGGTGGAATATGAAGGGGGGGGGGGGGGGGGAGACAATCAGGGAAAAAAAAAAAAAAAAACCACAAAAAACGCATGTAGAAAAAAAAAAAAAAAAGGGAAGTGGTGGGAATTGAAGTATATACGATAAAAAAAAAAATAATAAAAAAGATATGAAGAATAAATTAAAATAATTTTTTAAAATACATTTTTAAAAAAAAAAATTAAATAATCGTGTGTATCTCAATCTCTTCATTGAGGCCCCTAGGTGCAAGGGTATCTAAAGTAAAAATCCAATAGGTCTCCTGTTGGCATAATAATTTGAAACGTTCAACTGGGGGGAGATGGTCTGGTATAGCCTCAATGACCCATACTTGTAGATGGAGAGAGGATTTAGAATGAAACTCTGAAAAATGGCGTGGAACACTATATTTAGTAATGCCATCATCAACTGACCTCTGGTGCTCTCCAAATCTTTTTCGCAGTGTTCTAATGGTACGTCCCACATATAAAAGGCCGCACGGGCAGGACAAACAATAAATGACATATGTGGAAGAGCAATTATAAAAGGCTTGGAGGGGATAGACTTTTCCATTAATTGTAAAATTTTGTTGGCCATGCTTCACATGGGCACACGTGAGGCAGAGCGGTTTGTTGCAGCGGAACATCCCAATAAGTGGGATTAGTACCGGTCTATTGTGAATAGGAGGGGATTTCAGGGAGGGAATTTTACTAGGTGCAATTTTATTCTTAATGTTAATTGCTCTTCTATATACAAATGTGGGGGTAGGAGGCATAATCATTTTAAGGTGTGGATCTTGATGTAAGATAGGCCAGTGTTTCTTCAGGATGGATTCCATTTTGTGATGTTTAGAATGGAACTGTGTAATGAAACGGATATTGTTGTTGTTCGATGATTGCGGCTTAGGTGGGGGGATCGTGTCTGATAAGTAGGTGAGATATGCTTGTTCCACTAACTCAGAGGGATATCCTTTTTCTGTAAATTTTTGTTTTAATTCAATGCTTTGGGCTTTGTAGTCCTTAAGTAAGGTACAGTTGCGTCGAAGTCTGCAAAACTGCCCTTTGGGTATATTTTTGAGCCATCTCGGATGATGACAGCTAGTATAATGAAGAAAGGAATTACCAGCGGTTGGTTTGGTGTAATTTTTAGCTATAATATTAGAGTCCGAGTGGCTAAGTTCCAGGTCAAGAAAACTTAGTGAGGTAGGGTCCATAACGTGGGTAAAAGAAAGGTTGAATGGGTTATTGTTACAGTGTTGAATAAAAGATGCAAGAGAAGTGACAGGGCCGTCCCAGATGATGATAATGTCGTCTATATAACGACCATAGAACACCAAATGGGCAGCAAAGATGTTATTACTCCAGACATAGCGATCTTCCCAGAGGCCCATGGTAAATTAGAACCACTTGCAAAATTGAGTGATAATGATTCGTGGGGAAATTCGTCATCAGACACTGAAAACGATTTTGCGACTTTGCTCAGTGATGTGCGAACTTGGCGCTATATTTCAAATTTCAATGTTTTTGGTTTGATTATATTATTGAATTAAATTTATTATAATATTTTTTATGATTATTTATTAAATTATAATTTGATTTTGTGTTTCAAATTTTATCATACCCGGGATGTTTACTAGACTCTTGTTCGGACAGATTTCAGTGAGTTATTCCTAAAAATTACAGACCTACAATAAAAAAAATATAAATTTTTCCATGCAAAAAAATGTACCGCTTTGAGCACAGAAATATGGATATAATCAGACCACTAGGGAGGTTAAGATATCCTAGACAAAAGCAAGCATTTAACTCTTGCTGCGCAGGCCCCACTACAAGGGTGATGTTTGATTTTTCTGAGAGTTCAGCTTTAACCAATGAATGTTTACAACACGATAATAAGTTTGTCACTTATGTTATACATGCATTGATGTTTGTTTGCCTTTAAATAATTTTATCCCTTCCTCACTTCTTAGCTAGGGGATGCTCTGTGTAGCTTGTCCCACCCTCAATGTGTCTTTAGTTTTTGTTCTCTGCACATGTAAATGCTGGAGCTAGATATACTATGGAGTGGATTTACTAAAAGTGGAGATTGCAAACTATGCTACAACTCTGCAAAGAAACCAATCTGCTTCCAGTTTTTTTTTTTTTGTCAAAACTTAACTAGACAAGCTGAAGTTAGAACCTGATTGGCTACCATGGACAGCTGCACCAGAGGTTGCACTCTCCAGTTTTAGTAAATCAACTGTCGTGTTTTTTTGACCAATCTGATGTGTGTGTGTGTATATATATATAATATATATACAGTTGTGTTCAAAATAATAGCAGTGTGTTGAAAAAAGCGAATAAAGCTCAAAATCCTTCTAATAGTTTTTATTTCCATACACACAAATGCATTGGGAACACTACACTTTCTATTCCAAACCAAAACATGAAGAAAAATATATCAAATTTGTGTTGTTCCTCTAAAAAAAAAAAATTGAAGTGAATATTAGACTGTTCAAAAAAATAGCAGTGTTTGTATTCTTCTTTACAAACTCAAACATTCACTATATAAACTGAAAAATGTTTGAAGATTTTGCTTTCCTTTGAATCACTTATTTAATATTTAGTTGTATAAGCACTGTTTCTGAGAACTGCTGTACATCTGTGTTGCATGGAGTCAACCAACTTCTGGCACCTGTGAACAGGTATTCCAGCCCAGGATGATTGGACTACATTCCACAGTTCTTCTCTATTTCTTGGTTTTGCCTCAGAAACTGCATTTTTGATGTCACCCCACAAGTTTTCTATTGGATTAAGATTCGGGCATTGGGCTGGCCACTCCATAACGTCAATCTTGTTGGTCTGGAACCAAGATGTTGCACGTTTACTGGTGTGTTTGGGGTTGTTGTCTTGTTGGAACACCCATTTCAAGGGCATTTCCTCTTCAGCATAAGGCAGCATGACCTCTTCAAGTATTCTGATGTATTCAAACTGATCCATGATCCCTGGTATGCGATAAATAGGCCCAACACCGTAGTATGAGAAACATCCCCATATCATGATGCTTGCGCAACCATGCTTCACTGTCTTCACAGAGTACTGTGGCTTGAATTCAGTGTTTGGGGGTCATCTGACAAACTATCTCTAGATAGACCCAAAAAGAACAATCTTACTTTCATCAGTCCACAAAATGTTGCACCATTTCTCTTTAGGCCAGTCAATGTGCTGTTTGGTAAATTGTAACCTCTTCAGCACATGTCTTTTTTTTCAACAGTGGAACTTTGCGGGGGCTTCTTGCAGATAGCTTGGCTTCACATAGCCGTCTTCTAATTGTAACAGTACTCACAGGTAACTTTAGACCTTCTTTCTTCTTTCTGGAGCTGATTGTTGGCCTTGCCATTTGGCTATTCTTCTATCCATTCGAATGGTAGTTTTTCGCTTTCTTCCACGTCTTTCAGGTTTTGGTTGCCATTTAAAGCATTTGCGATCATTTTAGCTGAGCAGCCTATCATTTTCTGCACTTCTTTATATGTTTTCCCCTCTCCAATCAACTTTTTTAATCAAGGTACGCTGTTCTTCTGAACAATGTCTGGAACGACCCATTTTCCTCAGAATTTCAGAGAGAAATGTACTGTAACCAGCATGTACAACATTTGCTGCCTTCCTTCCTTAAATAAGGGCAATAATTGCCACCTGTTTTTCAAAGAATGAATGACCTCGCTAATAGAACTCCACACTGCTATTATTTTGAACATGCCCCTTTCAATTAGTGATTCAATTACACAGAATCAGCAGCATGCATGTCATGACTGTTGGGTCTGT